AAATGAAGAATATCAATGTATATATACATAAACAAACATCTAAATTTGAAATTTAAAGTGAAAAAATATATTATTTTTGTATAACTAGCAAAACACCTAGGCTTATAGATGTTTAAATATTCGCATAAAATATCGTAAATATTAACGTACCGAAGATTGCTAGAATCGCAACCGAGGAAGTTATGTAACGTACTTGGTCATGGCTACAATTATGCCAAATATGTAATTAGTCAACCGGCGACAACATGAAAGAGAACACTGCGATATCTGTCTACGGCACGGCCTATTAGGCTAGAATCTCTGCAAAATTAAGCATATTTGCCGAAATTCCTGTTCCTTTGTACTCCCTCTGTGCACCGCGTCCGCCAATGACACTAATTAATTCAGGGTCAGAGAGAGTCGAGCAAACATTTGCCGACACATCCGCGTGTCTCAATCGTCCTCGATCCAAGCGACGTAAAAGCCAAAAAAATGTAACAAAAACTAGAAAAACACTACATTTCACATTAGTGACGAGTCATGAGTAAACTTGTGTTCGAAACCCAGGGCAATATAAAACAATTTTATAGTTATATATGAGACATACATATACATATATAAAATATTTAATTTAAATTCGTTATGTTGGTAAAATATAAATAAAGTTTCTTAGAGTTTATTTGGATTGTTTTAATTTCACATTCAATTAAGAGATAATAGCCGTTGACATGAAGTCGCTTCTGTCTAAATTGCCGATTGCATCACATTGCAACAATGTGTTAAGAGTAGATACTAAAGATCCATTACATCTTATCACTGTTACGCTCATCTACAATCTAAAATCACTTTGAAACTATGAAATTTCGTTCGTCTTAGATGTTTTTTGAAATTTTGATATTAGATTCGTAATCTGAGCACTCGAAAGCCCTTGTATGCCAAGTTTCACGCAAACCTAAAGACTAGTTTTAGTTTAAGCTCCGTTTCGGAGCGTTCCGCCTCGTTGCGCGTTGGACAAGCGACACGTCGTGAAACGACGCGACGGAAAACCAATGGAAAACAGCTCCAATCGGTATCCCCGGCTAATTCTCAGGGCAGAGAGCACGGATCGAAAAAGCGGGGTGCTCGTTACTCGGTGCAGCGTGCGGCCGTGACGTGCGACATTAATCGCCGCCACGTGCTACGTATTTGTCTTCGGGTAGAGTTTCGGGAACAAGCCGCATTTGCCCGCGTCCGTTCGCACGCTGGAACTTCGAGGGCAATTTAACCCGAAATCTTAACGAGACTCCAGTCATTTGCGCGATCCACGCCAACAGAAATCCCCTCAAAAAGGTATAAAAATGGCATCGCGAAAATCTTGCCATTTTTCATGATAAAAATAGCGCTTTTCTTGACTTGAAAAGCTTAGAGTATCCGTTAGGCTGAAATTGAATCCTGAATTTCTATTATTGTTGCTTCGTATAGCTCATGGACTGAGTGTAGAGAAATCTTTTCCATATAAATATGCAAGTTATCCAATTGACATGGTCTCAACCTTTCAATTGCTGTGCTCGAGTATACTCAAGTGCGAGTAACGATACTACACCGTTCGAGTTAAAGAAAACAACAAGCACTCACACTGTACATTTTTATATATATGTCTCTAGGCATAATTATTGAGAAAATATGAAATTAATTCAGCGTAGAAGCTTTTTCTACCGCTAATTAATTCAGCAATGAAAAGGTTAAACACGCCCCACTCCGTACATTTTGTTGCGAAGTATGTAGCAATACTGTGCAATTACTGATTATCCTAACTACTGTAAGCATAAAGCAATCGCTGTAACTCTGATATCAAATCAGGTGTTTTCATTTACTCCCAGAAACCTACATTTAAGTCCTACCATGTTCTTTTCATTCATCGACGAGTCAGCGTTAATTTCGAAAACTCCGAGTCGTTAGTTTCTGTGGTTACGTTTGATGACTGGCGACGGAAACATTAACAACCGCGGCACGCGAGAATCCTGCGTTGATAAGCATGTTTTTTTCGACGTCACCTTGTACAGTGGAAATCCCGCGAGAAATAAGAACGACGTCAAAAGTGCAATACCTCGTAAACAGTTGATTCCCACCGTGGGATACCGGTATCGATAGATCCGCGACTCGTAGAAACCAATTAGTTATGAAAATACGAGGATGGTCAGGAACGAGACCAGTTTGACGAGTGAGAGGCCAGAAATGGTATTACGAGGGAATAAAGGATCTCTTCTGGTGCTCGGATGAAGACGCCATCGTGAAACGAATTGGTGGCGGTAAGACGCCGCGAGTTGAATTCTACCGCATAATGTGTAACCGTGCAATATTTAACGTAATATTCCGTAATTCCATGCAAATTCTACGAAGTGATTGTGTTGTTGGACTTGCAACGAACTAAATGAAAATCGGTGTTCGGTAAACGGTGTAATGTCGCAATTAGGTTATTAAACATGAATTACAGAAATCATATCGCGCTGTTGAATGCGCTCCGAATATTTCATTTTACCAGGACCAGACGCTAGGTAGTACGTTGAGATTGCACACGTGTATAGTGATGGTGTGATACTACTATAGCGACGATGTAATACTGATATGATATTGTACGAGTATGCTACTAGTACCTAGTGCGATATTAGTATTATACTCGTGGAAGATGGTAGAATAATATTGAAGTGGTTCTAATATTACTAGGATTTGATTGCACCGGTATAGTCCTACTATATCACTATTTTGGTAGATGTATATAATTACTATAGCACTGAAATGTTCGTAGCATATTATTCCTATAATAATAGTAATAGTAATACAGTACCGATGCAATAAAAAAATCACACCAGTATAGTACTATTATACTACTATGTTATTGCTATAGTATCCACAGCAATATACTATCCCATCAGTCCTAGAACAGACCTGCTACAGTATGACAACCTAACTGGTACAGTAATTTAGTTAAATGCTCTCCTATTTGATAAAGTCCTGCTATGGTATCACTATATTATTGTTATAGTATCGATATATTAGCAAATTGATACTGTTACGGTTATAGTACAGCATATTAGCAGAAAGCTAAATGATCGTCGGTTGTCCTGCACTAACATACCGCCACGTATGGCGAAACGAGAGGAATTACGAGCGAATGAGAATCTGTTTTCCTACATGATACGCGCGCAAAGTTTCAGCCGTAAAGCAAACTGCCACCACTGAAAACACTGTAGGTGCGTTAAATCACGAGAGATAAACCGGTCGTGGTTGTTCGACGTTGGTCGCAATTTCAAACTCGGTTTTATTAGTTGAAACTCCTAACCAACAATATCAAAACAACAAGAATAATATGGCAAATCCGCGTCGAAATCTCTGCAAGCCCCTCGTCAAACGTTATCAAAAATTTAACGACATTCATAACTCGAATATACGAGCCACCATACCAAATTTTATAATTTTCTGATAAGCCACTCCAGAGATGTAAAACAAGAGTCATGAATACTGTTTGCGCGCGAGAAGAGTGCATCTGACGTGAATTTATTTCTGCAGCACTTACGCGTGGTGATTGCTTTCCTTCTTTTTCAATACAAGTGGATCTGATTAATATTAGAGACAAACATGCGCTTAAAGATTTAATTTGTATTGTTTAATTACGATTTATCACTGGAAAATCGTAGTGAATATAATTACGAATGACGTGCCAAGGTTGAGGAATAATATTCGAAAGGAAAACGATAGATGACATTGTAACAACAATACACATTGTACTTCGAAAATATCTAAATTTAAATGCCGCGTTTAAATTACCGTGTGCCTCGACCGATTACCTCGACACTCGTTTCCTACCTTTCTGTTTCTTTGCACGAAAACAAATATTCGAACGATAACGGATCTATCCAATATGCATATTATGTACATATTTAATTTGTGTACTTTTTCGCATCTTTTTCCTTTTTATGGTTCTCACTGCCCGTTATCGTTCGGAGCGTCGTGTTTGTCGGTAATTTTTTAAACGATCAGTATGATTCTAAATCTCGAAAGCAACGCATGGATCACTCTAGACGAAATTAAAGTTACTATGAAAGTTAATCTCGTTTCTTTATCAAATGAAATCCGTGTCAGCTAATTGTATCCTCAACACATTGTCTGGAGCGGATTTGTCTAGAAAACAATACCGTGGATACGAAGGAACTAAAATTAATCTATAGCGTTAAATCATGTAACGAGAAAAACGGGCCTCCGTAATATTAAAAAAGTGATGAAATCTACGGGCGTCGCCAGAAACATTCTTCTCGCGCGCGAATAGTGCACGTATCCATGCATATAGAATCCCTTTAAAAATTAAATACCAATGACTCATACAAAACTTTCCCCTCCAAATTTTACCTTGTTTCCTAAGCCACTCCTATATACAAGTTTCCACTTCAAATTCCACAATATTTGCTAAACTGCTCACTTGATATCAAGCAAAAGACTAACATATGTACAGAATTTTAGACATTCTAACAGTTCCTAAACAATTCTTATTGAACTCAAAGCACCTAGAAGTAAAGAATAACACGAAAATCCTGGAGTACTCCAATTCCAGCGGCGATACTTTCCTCCTCTTAATAACAACCGGTTTCAAATTTTCACCGATACCAATACATCTCCTCATCTCCAATAATAAAATCCGAGGAAGTAAAAAGTTTTCACGGAGCCAAATCAGCGTTAGAAGGAGCGCGTTTACTCAGAAGTGTCGTAACTTTCTACGAAACTTTTGCGTTTAAAGTTGACTAGAATCGTGAGCGAAAGAACGTTCAACGTTACGCGACGTTCACGTTCTTGACAAACAAACGACGTATCGCGAACGATCGCGAGCAAATAACGAGATATTTCAGCGTGTGCCCGCGGTATGCACCGAGGATCCGGTTTGACAGTTCGAGTTGACAGATTTGGACCGATGCTGGGAAATCGGCGGGAATCGCCTTGAAACGCACAGTCGGCCCGCTAGTTGTTGTGTATAAAAAATCAGGGTTGCTCACCAGGTGAAGCACGGTGTTGACAACTTCCCGATTCGACACCTGTCCCACTTCGATCAGCCCGATCAGCACGGCGAATTTGAGGCTGTCGTTCATCGCCATCGCCACCACCTCCTCGGGCCGTTTAATGTCACTGAACGGTGGACTTTTCATGTCCGCCATCGCGACGTTAATCTAACCTGGCAACACGTTCTCCCCGCGAGGAGAATCTATGATAGTTTACACAAATACCGTCTTATGTACGAGAGCTTTTCCCCGTCACATGATAATACAACACAAATTGATCTGCCATGTTAGAAAGTAGACACTGTTATGAGGAGCCTGCCAGCGAGGCAGCGCGAAAGACCCTAGCGTCGCGCTCGCAGTACCGCCATTAACTGAGTCGCTAAGTTCCCAATACCGACCGCCGCGCTGCGTGGATGGACGTAGCGGGGTTTACGAATAAGGGTATTCGATGCCTTCCTCGAGGGCTTGAAACTTTAGTAGAGAAATATAAAACAGATGAAATTCTTGAGCACATGTATACTGAAAAATTGGAGTAAGTTTGTTTATAGAGGTGCGAAGTCGTATAACGTAGTAGACCAATCGGTAGAGAATTAAAACAGCGTTTTTGTGACAAAATAGTAACAGCAAACCGACTGTGCAGTTACATAAAAGCGGATGCGTAGATTAATAGGCATATGTTTTTCACTCTCAACTCTGTTCCGTTTTCTTGTTATTTACAATTTAATGCTAAGAAATCGTGATTTTTGTCGTTTTTTGCTTATAAATTTTAAACTAATGCAGCAATATCAATGCTCCAATCAGATAAAATGCCGCTGAGACCCCCACCACTCGACCGCGATTGAGCGTTCGTTTAGTCAACTTCACAAGGGCTTTTCTCATACTTCAACACATTTCATCGAAAAACTAGAATATACGTTTTGTAGTACACGACGTAAACTATTCAAATCTGTTTTAAAAATAAAAATCGGTCTTACGATAACGCATACAGGTCCGATGGAAAAAAAGCGCACTGAAAAATTCAGATTGCGATTGTCAGAAAACCATCTATCCGACAATCCCCGCTTTTTGCATACATAAAGAACATATCAATCACTACTTGTTCCCAAAAGGCCAGCGCTTCATTTTAAAAAATGACGGAGATACGAATTTTTGAAAAAACATCGAATTTTCCGGTTTTCCAGATTTTTCTCCGTTCCCCATTATCCGATCGAGACGTTCGAGGTCTCATTCTGTAGATATTTTCATCACCTACATTTTATCTCATTGGAGCATTAATATTGCTGCATTATTTTAAAATTTATAAGCAAAAAACGACAAAAATCACGATTTTTTTTAGCATTAAATTGTAAATAACAAGAAAACAGAACAGAGTTGAGAGTGAAAAACATATACCTATAAATCTACGCATCCCCTTTTATATAACTGCACAGTCGGTTTACTGTTACTATTTTTGTCACACAAAAATGCTCTATTGATTGGCCTATAACTATAACACCTAATGTACTAGTCTTACATTTGTTCGTTTTTTACATTCATTTAATTCTTGCTTAATTTTGTATTTGCATTTGCTTAGATACCTATTTTCATCACTCAATAGAGATGCCACAAGTCTGTTGGCCCTCCTATTACAGCTCGTGTACCTAGTGATTGCTAAGCCCGTACTATAGCTACAACTAAACAAAGCTACAGCCCCTGAGAGCTACTGAAAATAATTGTAAATAGTGATGCAGTAATCTTGACTCAATTACTAAATATACGTGGTCCAAACGATGAATTAATTTCAAAATGAACTCATCAGTTTGGGACTCATTTTTTCTCGCAATTATTCGAATGAAGAAGTATTTATACATCTGCATTGTTTAAGTAACGAGCACACTATTAATGTATATAAATATTACATCTTGTAATTAGCTGAATAGTGTCATGCAAACGAATGAACTTTGCGGTGAACGAAATCGATAACTTGAGCATTTGCATGTGCACAAACCAAAATTGGGTGAAACGTAAACCAATTAACGATTAACAATTACAATTAGAATCGTAATTGTTAATCGCAATTACAGATTCGGTTCTATAACAGTTGATTTGCCATCGAACTCGATTGAAATCGTGATAGTCTGACAATGATGCAATTATGCAATTACCATAAACTCTGCGAATCCATAAATTGTATAAATTTATAAATTTAATACAAGTTGTCTATACAGGAACAATACAATTGTAAATATGTAAACGTTATACATTGGGATTGAGTAGTTAGAATTGTTATCACATGCGATTAACTGAAGTACTCCAACAAATTGAATATATTTGAATATAGAAAAATTCAACAGAAAGTTCTAGCCGTATTCCAAACACGCTGAACAAAAATACGATACTCGAGAAATAATAATTTCACAAGCCCGGCCATTTATTTGTCTTTCATTGTCTGCGGCTATACAAACACAAAAGGACGAAATGAAAATTTTAATAGGACACGGCTGTGAATTATTTTCCAAACGTAATTGAAAACGGAATCTGTAAATATTTTATATTCCTTTGCCCGTGTAGACATAATCCGTAATAATATTATCGATTAATCACTGCTTTTTCATTGAGTGAATCGTTTATCAATTGAACCACTGAATTTATAATATGTTTTAATAATCGTTTTTATATAAATTGTGTTTAACAATTCGACAAACGTATGACAACTAAAGATTGTAAATTTACCGAACATTTCAATTTTCATTTAATGCTATTTCATTTTTCGCCACGAAAAGAATAGTTTTGACTAATTCGTTTAAAAAGTGTTTAAAAAGAAATGTCTACTTTAATAGTGTGTATAATATTACTCTATAAAGATAGACATACGCTTTCTAATACGTAGGCGGCTATTTGCTGTCACTTGTCCGTGATAGGAAAAGTGTCTGGGCGGCTATTTGTCGACACTCGTCCGCAAAGGGGTAAGTACTGATTTCAGTGGCGCCATCGGTGGGTGAACACCCAAGTTTGTAATGAAAATAGTTCTCACAGTTTTTCTAAGATGGCACCACCGATACCTTTTAATCGATTATTCTTTATTTTTCATAAATACGTGAATACTTAATACGATTCTTTATTTTATAACACTACAGTAAACAAAATATTTTAATACATTACTTAAACGCAGCAAATACATTTTTATTTGTAAATGTAGCAACAATTATCGACACTCTAGGTAGTAAGGCCATCTACTAGCAATAGTGAGAATTATTCTTACGACAAACTTGGGCATTTTCCCACCGATGGCGCCATTAGTACAATAACCAGTACCTCTTGGGGTCGAGTGTCGGGAAATAGTCGCCCACGTTTGCTTTCCTGGATGCACCCACTATCAATGATGGCGCATGTATGAGTGGTACTACAGAGAACTGCAGTATGAGTAAACGCACGCGTCACTAGTAGTAAAAATGGCGTCGGCGGATGTAGAGCGTATAAAGGTACGTGTTGATTTGTTTCAATTTTACGCGTATGCTACGTTACTTCTGACTGTTTTTGTCACTGGAAAGGATCATTTAAATGCCCTTTCTTGTGTTCAAGTGTAAATCTAAGCTATCGTCAACGTATGTGTAGTGTTTACAGCCTGAAGGGCGTTGGTCTGTCTTCTGTCATAACAACAGTACTTTCGTCGAAGCGTTCTCGCTCCATTTATAGATAGTACTGTTAATATCCGGTCAGGTATGTTCGTAACATTTATGCAAAATTTGTACTTTCAGTTGGAATCCTCTTTGCGTAATTTGAAATTATCCGGTCACGTTGGATTCGATAGTCTTCCGGATCAATTGGTGAATAAATCAGTTCAAAATGGATTTGTGTTCAACATCCTCTGTATTGGTATGGAAAACACTTTGCCATATGCTAAGCATGTGCTCCAGATTTTAGAGTATTGTTACTACAGTGGTGGTTGGGTGTTACAATAGGTGAGACAGGGCTTGGAAAGTCTACTCTCATGGATTCCCTTTTCAATACAAGTTTTGAGTCTACTCCAAGTCCACATAATCTACCATCTGTGAAGCTTAAAGCTCACACATATGAATTACAAGAGAGCAATGTTCGGCTGAAGCTTACTATTGTCGATACAGTTGGATACGGTGATCAGATTAATAAGGAAGATAGCTTCAAAGCAGTTGTTGATTACATTGATGCCCAGTTCGAGGCATACTTGCAGGAAGAGTTGAAAATAAAACGCTCTCTGGCTACTTACCATGATAGTCGTATTCATGTTTGTCTATATTTTATTTGCCCTACTGGTCATGGGTAAATATACAATACAAAATGCTTTTCATAGATATTAATACCTCAGCAATCTTACTCAGCCTCAAATATGTAATTGTAGATTAAAATCCATCGACCTTGTGTGTATGAAAAAACTTGACACAAAAGTTAACATCATTCCAATTATTGCTAAAGCTGACACAATATCTAAAACAGAATTACAAAAGTTCAAGGTACATCGTAAAAACTATGTCGTAATCCTCGAGGTATTGTTAAATTCACGCGTTATATTCAACATGAATTTTTCGCGTTGCAGGGTAAGATTATATCCGAATTACAAAATAACGGAGTTCATATTTATCAATTTCCTACCGATGACGAAAGTGTATCGGAAGTAAATTGTAGCATGAATGCGCACGTACCTTTCGCAGTAGTCGGTAGCACCGACTTCGTTAGAGTTGGAAACAAAATGATGCGCTCTCGACAATATCCATGGGGCACGGTGCAAGGTAACAAAAATTACCCATAAGCTAAAATTTATACATATTGAAAAAATTGATTGATCACAATGTTAAAAGTCAGCTGACTCGTCTTCGCTACGTTCAAATAAAACGTACCGCTACTAACGTAGCGAAATGTTTGATTTGATTAAAATATTCTTTATTGTAGTGGAAAACGAATCCCATTGCGACTTCGTCAAATTGCGTGAAATGTTAATAAGAACAAATATGGAAGACATGAGGGAGAAAACGCATTGTCGTCATTACGAACTATATCGTAAGAAGCGATTAGAACAGGTAATTGCTTCTGCGAGGTATTAATTCCTACGTGTTTCAAAATGCCACTATCAATCTTTACTTTCCTGCTCTTAGATGGGATTTAGCGATGTTGATAGTGAAAATAAACCAGTTAGTTTTCAACAGACCTGCGAAGCAAAGAGATCCATCCATTTGCAAGAGCTCCAACAGAAGGAGGATGAAATGCGGCAGATGTTCGTGGCACGGGTGAAAGAGAAGGAAGCTGAATTGAAAGAAGCCGAGAAGGAGGTATGAATATATATTTCTGTTAAACGTCGATATGTTTCGGTTTTTTTTATAAGTTCGTTC